GCATCTGGTGGATTTGAACCATGCACCTCTGAGACTGTAGTTGCAGCTTCTTGCCACTAGGCCACCAGAGCTCGCCTCTGTATTGACTCTTAATCCCAACATTTAACAAACCATGATAACACTGGAAACTAATCCTTTTTATCCATATTTTATCATCAACATAATGAGAATAATAATATACCCAAGGTAGCTCTGGTGGCCTAGTGGGTAAGGAGCTGTGCTGCCTACCCAAAGGCAGGAGGTTCAAATCCACGAGTTGTTCTGTGGGAGAAAGATGAGCAGTCTCCTCTCATGCAACGTTCCGTCTCCGAAAACCCACTGAGGATCAGCTACAAATTGATTCTGACTCACAGAGAGTGAGTGAGTGATACTCCTCGCGTAGAGTTGTTGTATGCTCCTGCATCACTTTCAATTCATAGCCATCTCGGGTGACAGAGTAGAACTGCCCCATATGGCAGTTATCTTTACAGAAGCAAATTGCCAGGCCTTTACTCTCACAGAGTGGCTGGTTAGTTCAAACTTCTGACCTTTCAGCAAGGAGCCAAGTCCTTGAGCCACCAGCACTTCTTTTTTAAATGAGTGGATATATGTAGAGTGTATACACAGGGCCTGACACACAGTGATTGGTATTACATTCTCCCACTCACTGCTGTCTAGTCAATTCCAACACATGTGACACTATATTAGGTCTCTGAGGATCTAAATCTTTATGGGGAAAAGCTATATTTCTCCTGCAGAGCCATTCCTGGATTAGAACCACTGACTTTATAACAGCCACCAGAGCTCCTCCTGAGTACCTAGTAGTATTTCTTTTTAATCCTTACATTTTAGAGAGTGGAAGTGTAATATGCTCTATTTTAAACATGAACAAGCTGTAGCCTAAATAGTCCTTTCCCAAGGTCATATCGAATAACTATGGCAAAAAAATTATAATTGAGCATCTGGCTCTATGTATAGAGCTCTTTGCAGCCCTTTCTTATTATTTGCTTCTCAATCTCGTATTTTCTATCCCACAAAGTGCAGGAAGAAAGAAGCATAAAGGGATGTGAAAAAATATCTTCTCACTTGGAAAATTTACAAACTGGACCTTGAAAGGATGATTGCAGTAGCATAAAGGTTACTAGAAACAATGCAGATAGAATGAGTAACATAAGACCCATAGATGGAGAAAGCTTGTACCTTATAAAGATAGACTTCCAGCACATTATTTTGGTAACCTATAATACGTTCACTTCATATATTCTGTTTTAGGAATCCCCTTGACAGAGCAGAAAGTAACAGTACCCAGTTCTTGTGTATCCTTCGTGACAGCTGATGTGCCATCTTCTATATACACCCATGTGGTTGAAAACACAGGTTCCCCCATCTGGAATTTTCAACAGCAATCACGGTTTGTACTTCTAACATTCTGTTACCCTTCTAGAATCTGCTGCTTGTTCAGGAAGATTAGCTCAGTGCAAGGAATGGAACAAATATGCTTTTTCTTTTAAGTAGAAGGTTGGGGTTTTTGGTGGGATAAAAGTCTACAAATCCTATTACATTTTAATTGTAGGCATTTTGGTTAATAATATTAATTATAATTGATTGATTAATTGCAATGTCTAATCAAATCCATATTGTAGATTGCCTTTCCCTTCACACAGCTTAGCAATTTATTATGTCTAGTTTCCTTCTTTTATCATCCCTACTAACTCTCCAGCATTCTGTCTGTAAACCTTCCCTAGCTTTTTATATTCATAGTCTTCTATCATAATTGTCCTTTTTGTGACTAGCTTGTATCACACAGCGTAATTTGTTCTAGATTTATAAATATTGTGTAATTTTAGTTACTTTTTCCTTGTATTTTAATGATGCATAATATTCCACTATGTGAAAATACCAGTTTCTGTAGCCATTTGTCCATTGAGGGACACTTGGATTGTTTTCAACTCATTTCCTTTATAGTGTTGCCGTAAACAGTGGAGTGGATATATTTGTTCATGTCACAGCTCTTATTTCTTCAGGATATATACCAAATAGTGGGATTGCTGGATCAAATGTTATTTCTGTTCCCAATTTACTAAGGAAGCCCTAAACTGCTTTTCATAGCATTTGTTGTTTGTTCTCTTGATGAATTTTGCTGTTGTTTGCCATATGTAGATGAGTTAATACCTCATTGTTTTGATTTGCATTAGTTGTAGATGAAGGTACACCTAATTCAGGTCATGGTCTTTTCAGTCACTTGCTATGCATCTAAAATCTGGACAGTCAATAAGGATGGCAGGAGAAGAACTGATACCTTTGAGTTATGGTGTTGGGGAAGAGTGCTAAAAACCCCATGGACTGCCAAAAGAACCGATATGTCCTGGAAAAAATGCAATCATAGTGTTCCTTAGAAACAAAGATGGTGAAGCTTTGACTCATCTATTTTACACATGTTGTTAGAAGAAGCTATTCCTTGGAAAGGTAGATCAGCAAAAGAGAAGAAACCCCTTAATGAAATGGATTGATACAGTGTCTGCACCAGTAGACTCAGATGTGTCAGAGATGATAAGGATGGCACAGGATAGGGCAGGGATCTGTTGTTCATGGCATCGCTATGAGTCGTACTCAATTCCACAGCACTTAATGACATCATGATATGCCACAGATTAGGGCTCTTAGGTTTAGCATAATTTTTTAAAGTATCTTTATAGTTTGAAGTTATGTGCCTATGTCTTTGATCCATCTTGAGTTGGTTGGTTGGTGGGTGTTTTTTTTAATATGAGATGAGATACAGATCTTGTCTCAGTTTTCTGCAAATAAATAGCCAGTTTTGGTAGCACCATTTGTTAAAGAGACTGTCTTTTCCCCATATGATGAATTTCATATCTTTGTTAAAGGCACTTGCCAAAGGTGGGTAGATTGATTTCTGGGTTCTAAACTCTATTCCATAGCTATGTCATACCAGTACCAGGTTGTTTTGATTACTATCACTATGTAATAAATTTTGAGAACAGAATGTATGAGACCTACTCCCCCCACTTCTTCAGTATCACTTTGCTTATGAAAACACTTTTCTTATCAAAGCAGTTATTTAATCTTGGTGTTTATAAAGGGAGCACCAGTGGAATAGTTATTTAATCCTAGTGTTTATGAAGGGTGGCATAGTTACTGAATCTTAGTGTTTACAAAGGGAGCTTTGGTGACATTGTCCATAAGAAGTTGTGCTGTGACCCCAAAGACCATACCACATGGCCATTTAGAATTCACCAGTGACACTGAGACATAAAGATGGGCATTCTCTCCTATTACTCAGAGCCTCTGCAAGCCAAAGGAATGCCCAGCTGTCAACTATGAAACAGTTCCGACTCCATAGCAGTGAGCATTTTGGGGTTTTTAATTGAGTATAAATTCCCATTGCTAGTTTACAAGTTTTAATTTGGTTATTTATAAATGCTTATTACAGCTCAAAAAATATTCAGTGAGAACCCTTTTGAATGCCTTACTCCGTTTTAAGCACTGGAAAGTTAAAGATGGTGACAACCCCTGTTGTTGAGAAATACATGGTCTACCTGTGAAGAAAGACAAGCAAAACATTCCGATAGAATGTGACAAGTGCTGTCATAGAAATAAAAAGGATACTTAGTGGAACTTGGAATGAGAGTATTGTTTAGCACAACTTACATTTTCAGAGAAGGCTTCATAAACAAGACCTCTCAGCTAATATTGAAGAAAAGTATATAAATTATATAGGTAAAGAATGATAGGAAAGGGTATTGTAGGCAGTGAGAACTAATCTCAGGAAAGAGTTTGAGTTATCTTTAAAAAACACTGTTGTACTAGAAAAGAAAACTACAAGAGACCTAGCTTCCAATCCTCTCTCTTTCATTTCCTATCTGTGTGAACAAATTACAGAGAATATTTGAGCCTTAGATTTCTCATCTCCCCAGATAACTTTTATATGGTTGTTGTGAAGTCCAAATTAGATGACATTTAGAAAAATTACTTTATGATACCCAGTAATTATACAACAAATGTTAGATCTCCTCTGGATTGCTCAAAATAAAGGAGATTGAGTCCCGTCAATCATATTGCAACTCTGCTGAATAATAGGGGGTTAGCTTAGGGGACCTCCTACTTGATAGCAGAACTGGTCTTCCCTTTTCTTTTGTTATCGGACCTCTGTATAAATTATCCCTGAGACAGATCATCATTACTGTTGTCATTGCACTGTGCCACCTTGTATAAAGTTTCATTCTTCTCCACCAGCACAAATCACATCACATGGTTCTCTTTCTCACAGTGTTTGCATATTTCACTTTTAGCAATTGCTCACATGTTCAGTGTTTTGCAATTTGAGAGGCTAACATGAGTCAGCAGCTAGAACAGTGGAAACTCAGTACCATCTTTGGTGAGCTACTGGAAATAGAGCCGTGCTAGCTATAGTAGCCAGGGTGCTTTATTTGAAATATCAAGTCTGTCCCAATGGTGACCAGAAAGCTGAGATTCTGGCTTAAATAAATAAATACATACATACATACATACATACATACATACATACATACATACATACATACCAACAAAAACAAAGTCACTACTGTCAAGTGGCTTCCAACTAATAGTGACCCTCCATCTAGATTCTGAGGTTGTAAATTATAACAGATGTTTGTGAGATTCAATGGATATGTAGTTATGTAGAACCTAACTTTTATGGACTTGATGAAGGAAGGAGGTTTTGTTGTTTTACTGTGTATAAAATTTGTTTCATAACTGTGGTCTCATACAGCCTTTGTGAATATTTTTTTGACCCCGCATAATGTCCTACAAATTCATCCATGTTGTGAGATAATCGACAGATACACTAAGAATCCACTGTGAGTATTTACTGTAGCTTGCTTATTCATTCTTCTGTGGTGAGTACTTTGGTTGCCCACGATGGTAACATGGTCTGCTGGGAGCAGAGGTAGGATTAGAAGGACAATGATAACTATTTACAATTTCTCTATCACAAAATTATTTAATTATGTACTGTCAAGTCGAAAACAACTCACAGCTGAACCTCCATCAGGTTTTCAGAGACAGTTAATTGCAAGGGAGGATATTCCCATCCTTCTCCCACAGAGCAGCTAGTAGATTCACCGCGTGCCTTTGGGATTGCAGCACAGTTTCTTACTGCTACCTCACCAGAGCTCCCTGCATTTTAACTAGGAAGATAAAAAATATGCTAGCAGATAATTATGAAGATTAAATGGAAAAAATGCTCTAAAAACTACAAGATATTCATCAAATACTATGTTTCATGCACAGAAATTTCCTCACATTTATTTTATGGTGGTGGTTTTTCTTAGGTTATCAAAAGAGCTTCTTCTGGACCCACAACAGACTCTGGTCTTCAAAGTTTGGCATAAAGGAGGTATGTCTTACAGTGTCTGTCTTATTAAAGCTTACATTCGATTGGGATTTTCAAATCTACCTATTTTTCTAACCAATTCAGATTGTGACAGTGTTAATGCTAAAAATAAATGTGTTACCAGGACTGGTCTTCCCTAACTGCCATTTTCTTTAGATTTCTCTTAGAGAATTAAAATGCTTAAGGATAATTTTGTTTATATCAGTCAGCAGCCATAATGTAAAAAAGTGTTACGTGTACACACACACAAGTACGTACTGCTCCTTTTTGTGATGTTTCCCTGTCTATTAACTCTGGCTTGCTTGGTCAGCATTTTCAGGCATTAAGAAATGTCAAGTGAGTTCAGCTCTTTTGATTTTCTGACTCCAGCTCTTTGCATATTTTATTATAATACTTTTCTTTTTCTTCTGAGCTGCCCTTCTGTTCAGCTCCTTAACTTCTTGACTTCTTCCCTTTGCTTTGGCTTCTCAGCGCTCTGCTGCTTCTGACATCTATCTTGGTCTTTTTTTCCCTACTTTCTCTTTGTAATGACTCTTTGCATTCTTCATGGATGATATTGATATCCTCCCACAGCTCATCTGGCCTTCTTCGCTCATTATGTTCAAGGCCTCAAATCTGTTCCTGTGATGGTAGGACTTCATTAAATGAAAGAGTTAAATGGGTCTGGTATGTGACATTTAGTAAGTGCCATCTTGGTTTTCAGTACTGTAGTTGTTTTTTAGGAATAATTTGTTATTGGTGATTCTTTTTATTTTGTTGGTTTTTTTATTTTAGTTTGCATACAAAACTCATGTGTAATGTATTTCATACTTTCTTTTGTTCACATTGTGTTTCATACAGTCATTCCCATACATTGTGTTTTATTAAAATTAATCACCATTGAACTATGCCCACCATTTCTCCATCTTTTCAGGTCCCTGCAAGATCTTTCCCATTTCCTTTACCCACTCCCTGTATTCCCCAAATTGTGCGATCCTATGATTTCCTGTCGTCCACCCTCACCCCTCTGCTCCCATCCCTTCCCCTCCTATACATAATTTATTAGTTATACTTCTACGTTTTACAGTAATGGTCTTATGTATTATTTGTCCTTAGGAGATTAAGCATAATACTCTTCATTCTTTCTCAAATTATGTAGTATTTTTTGAAATAATTGCTCCTGATTGCTGCGTGGTATTCCATTATGTGAATGTACCACAATTTCTCATTCCGCTTGATTGTGGTGAACATTTTGGCTATTTCCATATTCTTGGGATTATAAATAACACTATTATGAGCTTTGGTATACAAATCTCCATTTAGTGAGTGTCACGATATTAAGAGCTTTACAGACATCTATACTTATGCAAGGTAATAATATAACTAGTTCTGTTTTATTAGTATAAAAGCTGTGACCTGAAGACGTTTAGTTACTAAGGTCACATACCTTGCTATTAAGTGGTAAACCCAAGATTTGAACTGAGCTTTGATCGACTCTCTGTGCTTTCACCCTTGGACTTTACCATACTGGTAAGATTGGATGATTTAGAAGAATAAAGTATGAGGAGAGATGAATATAAATAGGAAAATATAATTCATCTCAGTCGTTCCAAGAGCAGTGGTCTTGGAGAATACTTTTTCAGGACTTACTTCCTAAGGCAGAATCACTGGCCTATAATAAATAGCTTAGGGGAAAGAACAAGGGTTCTTACATTTAGAGATGCATTTTAGTTGACTGTCAAGAATTCAAAGTGCAGAACAGCTGTCTTTATTTAGTGCTAAACAACATGCCTCTGGAAACTCTATGGACTTTGATAAATGACGATAGTTATAGAAAGGCTTCAGGCCTTTTGTTCATATGGTTGCTATGAGTTGTGGTCGACTCCACGGCAATCAACAAAAACATAACAGAAATAGGGAGCACTGGAGGCCTAGTGGCAGAAAGCTGCGCTGCATTCCCAAAGGCAGACACTTCTAATCCACCAGCTGCTCTGTGGGAGAAGAATGGACAGTCTCCTTCCGTGTGATAAACTGCCTCTGAAAACCCACCAGAGTCAGTATGGTCAGTCTGACAAGATTGCACACAGTAGAAATACCACAAGTGGCTTTAACAAATTGAAGTTTATTTTCTCAAAGTTTAGGAGGCTAAATCAAAATCAGATCAAGTCTGTTGCCACTGAGTCAGTTCTGACTCATAGCACCCCTGTAGGACAGAATGTTTTTGTGTATCATCAGTTGGAACTGACTCACAGCTGACCCTCCAGCAGGTTTTCAGATGCTATAAAGCACATGGGAAGAGATTATCTGCCTTTCTCCCATAGCGCAGCTAGCAGAGTTCAACCTCCACAAGCTATCCTTAGTATTTCAAAGCTTATAAATCTTTATGGAGACATAAAGCCTCACCTTTCTGCCCCTGAGTGGCTGGTGGTCTCAGATTGCCAGCTTTTTAGTTAGCAGCCAAATAAAAGTTTTAACCAATGTCCTGTGTGTCCCCACCCACTGCTCTGGGCTCCTTGAAGATCACCATGTTTCTTGGCATTTGTGTTACCCCAACTTTCCTCTGCCCTTTTCTTTATTCTCTTCTATATCTCAAAAGATATTGGACCTGCATAAACTGTGCACTAATCAACATAGTAAAGACATCTCATTCCTATATGGGATTATAACGTCAAGCATAGAGGATGGTATTTGCAGAGTATATTTTATGGGAATATATCCATCTGTATTAACATATAGTTAAAGAATTCACAATAACTAAGACAGGCTCTGGTTTTCGGTATCTCATCCTTATTATCTGTCTTCTCTCATGGCTTTAGAATCACTGAGCTCCCTCCTCTGAATCAGTTTCTCTGTGTGTAGTCGCCTCTAATCTCAGTGGACATATCCAGCCATACTGCCCAGCTCTTCTCTTTTACTCACAGATGAAGAAAGGGTGATTGGCTTTGCCTCAGTGGACCTCTCACCACTTCTCTCTGGCTTCCAGTTTGTCTGTGGCTGGTACAACATAACAGACTTCAGTGGACAGTGCCAGGGGCAGATCAAAGTTGCCATCTCTCCTTTGGAGAATTTGATCCATTTTAAAAAAGAGAGACAAGCAAGACGTGGAGTGGAAACCCCAACATCACTGGTATGTGCCCTGATTCTCACACCTAACCAGTAATGGTTCTCAAAAAAAAAACAAACAAGGAACTCATGAAATAATATTCAAAATGGATGACCCTGGAGGACATTATGCTGAGTGAAATATCTCAGTCACAAAAGACAAATACTGCATAGTGCCACTGATGTAAAACAGGACTGACATAGGGGTTGGGGGTCGGGGGAGACTGAGAAAGATGGGATAAATTATGCATTGAAACAGATGAGAGAGAGAAGCGTTTAAAAGGTATATATGATTAGGTATTATAATCATGACATGAGTCCAGAACGAAGGCTTCATGGTAGAGTGGACTTGGGGGAAGGGATTGTATAACAATAAAAGAATTTTTCTTTTATTTTTCAAAGAGAAGAACGAACTAGAATGTTGGGGTGGGCAGAGAGAAAAGTTCAACAATGAATGAATGGAAATCCAAAATCTTTATAGATTTTCATTAAAATTACTAATAATAAAAAAAATTTTAAAAATACCTATGAGGTCTTTTACACACATTTGGAATTTCACTTGTTATAGAACACATTATATATTTATGCTTCATAACCATCTTTGGGGACATACCAGGCAATATTCCCTTTTCTTGTTCTGTTTTTGTTGTTATTAGGTTCTGTCACATCTGCTGCCCTATCCTGTGCCATCATCATAATCTCTACTCAAGTCACTATGTCAGTCCTTCTCAGAGGGTCTTTTTCTCTTTCTTTCAACCTCTAACTTTCCCAGCATGATGTCTTTTTACAAGGACTGGCCCCTGCTGGCAACATGCCTAAGATATGTGCGACAAAGTTTCACCATCCTTGCCTCTAAGGAGCACTCTAGTTGCACTTGCCCAAAGACAGATTTGTTGTTCTTTTGGCAGCCCATGGTTCATTCATAAATCTTTGCCAAAATAACAATTTAAAGGCATCTATTGTTCAGTCTTCTTCTATTGATTGTACAATTTTCACATGCATTTGAAGCAACTGAAAAATAGTATAACCTGGGGAAAAGTGCTTATAAATGTTTTAGCACAGCGTCCAACACATAGAAAATAGTAGGATCATACATATACAGTAAATTTTAGAAATGTTTTTGTCCCTTGCTTTATTCCAAAATACTTTGTGCTAACAGGTGTACCATATTTTTCATTGTGTCTATAGATTCCAAAGTACCCCTTTTCCTTCCTTGCCTCTGATATGTATGCTACACTCCCCAGCTATATTACAAGACAGACTCCAGACTCGCTTGCTCACACTACTTCAAATGAGCTTCCTGCTTCATCTCCTGCGAGGTAAGTGGTTTTGTTATGATAAAAAAATTGATACCAAAAGCTAAAGTATTGTTAAAAAGCTTACCTCTCTTTTATTTTCTTTCCATTATTCAAAAAGAAACAAGATGAAGAAAAGGCTTTGTTGATCTTTTATGACTCTTTGGAACCACTGTTTATTTCTAAAGCTTTCAGAAATTCCCAGATACAAATTCTCCACCCTAAATTTAGTAACAACTCTTCATTATTCTCCCTCATCTCAATTCCCTGGTGACCTCTTTCTGCCTCTATGATTTGACCCTCAAAGTAGATATTTCATGTCCTTTTATGTCTGCCTTATTTTGTTTAGCATACTTTTTTTTTAATATTATACCCACAAAAATAACACACTCAGACATTAATGTGTGTATTACCTTTAGAAAAAAACACATAAGAAGGTTGCAAGGCTTGCAATATATATAATGTTCACCATTTCGGACTGAGTTGTGGCCCCCAGAATATGTGTTAAAAATCTATTCCTGTAAGCACACATGTGTTCCTGTAATCTCACTTTGTAATGGATTGTCTTTGATATGTTCCTGAGGTGAGATTAGTGTGGTAGGTATCTTAAAGCCATCTCTTTTGAAATATAAAAGTGATTAAAGCAGCAAGCAAGAAAAGCAGAGATAAAGGAAGAGAGAAGATCATGCCACATGAAAAATCAGAAGCTAAGGAGAGACAAAGACCTTCCACTGGACCTGACAGAGAGAGAAACCCTTCATCTCAAGTCAGACCCAGTATTCAGACTCGAGTCTCCTCAACTGTGAGAAGTGTTTTGCTGAACCTAACCACTTGTGGTGTTCTAGCAGCTGTAGGTAGCCAAGGCACATACATGCATTATTTGTATAAAAATGCAGACACATGTTTAAGGTTCATCCATGTTGTAAGATTTCAGAATCTTAGTCCTTTAAATGACTGACAAAAAGGAAATTTCTAGAATTAATTTATTTCTTTCTTTTTAATTGGTTTGCTCAAAAAGTTAGTATACATTGTGTTTCACATTATTCTTCATTTATATTGTGTTGCATACAATTATTCCCATGCATTATGTTTTATAAAATCAAACAAAAAAATATCAATCACCACTGAGCCTTGCCCATCACTACCCAGTCTTTTTCAGGTCCCTGCCACATGCTTCCCCTTTCCTTCACCTTCTTCTTCGAACCTCGAAATAAACTTAATTTTTTTAATGCTTTTTTGAGGAATTCTATAGATTTATACAGAGATTTATTCTGTAGATAAAAAATATTCTCATTTTTGGTAGGAGTATAGCATGATGGAGCTGCTTTATTAGTCTTAGCAGTTCCTCATAAAGTTAAACAGAGCTACCATATGGCTAGTACCTCCACTCTTATTTATCTATCCACACAAGAGAAAGAAAACATGTCTACACAAAAATTTGTTCATGAATCTTTATAGCATTATTACCCATAAGACCCATTAAAGCGACCCAAATGCTCAACTGATAAATGGAAAAACAGATTTGAAAAATGTGGTTTATTCATACTCTAGAGTAATATACAGCCACAAAGAGAAATGAAGTCCTGATACTTTCTGTATCGTGAATGAGTCTTAGAAATATTTTGCTAAGAAAAAAGAAGCCAGTCACAGAAGATCACATATTACTTCATTTATTTGAAATGTCCAAAATCAGCAGATATAAAGACAGAAAATGCCCTGCAGTGCAGTAGTTAAGTTCTTGGCTGCTAATCACAAGGTTGTGAGTTCAAACCTACTACCTGCTCCCAGGGAGAAAGCTGTAGCACTCTGACCCTGTAAATATTATAGCCTTGGGAATCCCGTGGGGCTGTTCTCTTGTGTCTTGCAGGGTTGTCGTAAATCACAGTTAACTCCACAGCAACAGGTTTGGTGGTGTTTTGTTTTTAATAGAGACAGAAAGTCCATCAGTGGTTGCCTAGAGCTGAGAAGTTTAAAGGGAAATACGGGGTAACTGCTAGTGGGTACTGGGTTTTAAATTAATGAATCTGTTTAAAATTGCTAATAGTGATTGTTACATAATTCTGGATATACTAAAAACCATTGAATTGTATCCTTTAAATGGGTTAGCAACATAACTCCCAACTACATCACCAGAGCTCTCTTGGCACATAGAAAGGACTATAAATTATGTTACTCTTGTTTTAGAAAGATTACTCAGGTTTAACAGATTAAAGAGGCAAGATCATTTGAGAGACAGTTTTCATCCAAGTAAGAGTTGATGAAGACTGCAGCAGTGGGATGGACCTGTGGTACCATTTCAGAAGAATAACACACCTGCAGTTCTTGTTGGCTAAGAATTTCTTTTGCCCCCACTTACTTTCAACAGAAGCAGTACCTCAAAGAGCCAGGCATCACGTCATGAAGAGCATGTGCAGAATATCCGTCGATTTCATGAATCCCTGCACCGGGGAGATGCAATCTTACCAAACGATGGCAGAGAGCCTGTGTTGCCCTTGTCCTCCAAAACCTCCCTTCTGACTTCTCTCAGGTGAGGCTGTCTGCCTGCAAAGAGACACAGATAAATGGACAGTGAGTGGTAATGTGTATTACAGTCAGCCCTTGAGCGTAACAAGTTTAAATGCTTTATGCACACTTAAACACATTGTTTTTTCCTGTTACTATTGCAGTGAGGCCAAGTGTTGTATCTGCTTAAAATGCCATGTGATGCTAATCATCTCCACATGAGCAGTTCATCTCTTCAGTAATATACCCATGTAAAAATGGGCACATTTCAAACTCATGTTATTCATGGGTCAACTGTACTGCTTTTTAATCGCTTATCTCTGCTCTAGGAGGTTTTACAGGAAATTTCTATGCGAGTTTGTGTCATGTAGCCTCAGATTTTCTCAGTATGAGGGTTTCCATTCCTTCAGAGGGCCACTCTTTATTGCTTCTGCAAGTACAGGATTTTAGGTATTTCATCAAAACTGAGCAATTACGACCCTCACTTCTATAAAGCCTCACATCTGTTCCACAGCAATGCAGTAGTAGTTCTCAAAATTCAGTGTCAGAACACCTGAAGGGCTTTTTGAAACACTGATTCTGAGGACACCCTTCCCCCACAACCCCCACCAACCACCCCACCTCACGTTGTTCTTGATTCAGTAGATTTAGGATTGTTCCTGAAGTTTGTTATTTCTAAAAGTTTTCCAGTGCTGCTGAACTCTACAGGAATTCTATGCCAAATGGAAATGAAACAAATAAGCATTAAATTTTTTTGCTTTATAAACCGGTGCTTCAGAATGAATCACAACTTCCCATGAAGCCTACAGGACAGTATTCTTTGTCCTGTTTCACATATTACTAAATTATAGCTTTGTGTGTATCACTTGGAGTGCCATAATTCTATATGCAAACTTCTACCAAAGCCTACATTTGCATTTTCCTTCAAGCCAAGCCAGGTTCACATTTGTTTGCATGACCTGCAATAGGTTTATCCACAAGCATACCTAGTATACACACACCTAAGTAAATCTGCTGTGATTTGATAACATCTTGATTCAGAGATAGAATAGGTATCGGTTTTACTTTTTCATCTATTTAATCTTGATCTGAATCTTGATCACAAGACTTTTCCCACCAAAAAGGAAAGAGTTTCCATTCACTTCATAGTTAGTGTCTATGCTGTGCTAATTGTACCAGGCACATTGAAAGAAATAGAGAAATTTGAGATACTGTCTTTTATTCCCAAATGCTCATGGCCTGGTTAGGGAAGCTGACCTAAACCATGGTGAAAAAATTAAAAGGAAGTCTAAGATAGGTTTGATGGAAAGGCTTAAAGTAAAAGCATTTAAGGGAGAAGTGGCCCTATGATTTGACTTGATAAACATTTGAAAAGGAGAAATATGAACTACACTTTAAAAATTTAATATAATAGAGATAAAGCAGTACCTTGAACTCAGATTTCAGCATGAGCAAATGTATTATACAGAAATGAACACAGTGGGGCAGAAACCATCTGTTATGAAAAAAAAAACACAGAATTTGGAGCTCCAAATTCTGAATAGCCACATACAGCTATTTACCTTGGATAAACCACTTATATTTTCTGAATCTTAGCTTTCTTACGTGTAAAAAATTATTGATCTTGTCTGGATTGCTGAAAATTAAACAGGATGCTGTATAATAGCATACAATGTAGAATCCTAAAGAACTCAAGGTGGATGTATCATTATTGGAAAGTGTTAAGATTGAATGTTTCCCATTAAAGGTTTTTAATTTATTGTTCCATTCAACATTCATTTATTTTATGCCAAATTCTGATGATTATAATTAGTACAAAGGAATCTACACAAAGTTCATAGCTCACAGGGGAGACAGATATGAAACAAGCAATTAATATTACTGGAGAGTATAGAAGGAACTGAAGTGTGGCCGTTGCTGTTGTTGTTAGGTGCCGTTGAGTCGAGTAAGACTCCTAGCAACCCTGTGGACAACAGATCTGAACCCTGTCCTATCTTGTGCCATCCTCATCTCTGACACACTAGAGTCCATTGCTCCAGGCACTTTGTCTGTTCATCTTGTTGGGAGTCTTCTCTTTCACTGACCCTCCACCTTTCAAAACATGATGTGATGTTCTTTTCCGAAAATAGGCTCTCCTAGCAAAATAGCCTCTCCTAGCAACCTGCCTAAAGTATGAAAGACAAAGCCTCTCCATCTTTGCCTCCAAGGAACACTTTGGGGGTTCTTTTTCTCCAAGAGTTATATGTTTGTTCTTTTGGTAGTCTATGGGATAGCACAGCTCAAATACATCAATTCTTCTGTTATCCTTATTAATTGTCCAGATCTCTGATGCATAAGAAGTGATTAAAAAGACCATGGCCTGAATCAGGTACACGTTAGTCTTAAGACTGACATCATTGCTCTTCAGTATTTTGAAGCATGAAGAGGAGGTGCCCCTAAATCAATTTAAAGGGTCAGAGTACCCTTGTCTCAAGGGGTCATGGGTTTCACCAATCAGCAGTCTTACAAGCTAGGAAAGGACAGTGAGATCTCATTCTATCAGATCAAAATAACAAGTGAGGACTTGGGCTGCTGATAAAGAATGATTTGCCACAAAGAAGTCGTTTTTTTGCTGTACAAGAGAAACTGCATTAGCTTCATAGACTAAGAGTTCTGGTGGCCTAGTATTCCATTGTGTTTATGTACCTTAGTTTCTTGATTTATTTGCCTGTTGATGGACACTTGGGCTGTTTTTATCTCTTTGCTGTTGTAAATAATGCTGCAGTAGACATGCGTATGTGTTGTTGTTTTTTCTCTTACAGGAAGAATCTGAGTGAGCTAGATCAGATCCAACAATACTTCAGCCAGAAGCTCAACAAGCCTTTCCTACCCCACAGTATTCAGACTCATACCACCATCTTGCAGGACCAGCAGAGCTGTAGGGACCAATCTGAGCCAGAAGCCAGCAACCTAGACTCTGAGACTCAGTGCATCTTGGAGAAATCTAATAACCTGGTGTTACAAGTCAGCTCTTTAATCACAGGTATGGTGCATTCAAAAAGCACATGGATGTCTGCCCTCAGGCAAGGTCATGTGACAAATAGAGACCAAAGTCTTTCACTATCTTTCTCTTAACAGAAGATACAGAGTAGTGTGGCAAAGAAAGATGGGGCAATGAAAAGAACATTGGACTAAGAGGCAGGAGACATGGTTCCTTGGTAGGTTTCTGGCACAGATTGACCAGAATGTTCTTTCTCAGAATAGCTGAACATTTTGTTTCCCTCCTTAAGCTTCATTTTCCCCAAACAAAAGGAGAGAGAGCATTAAACTAGTGGGTTTCTTAATATCAGCTAAGGATCTACAAACCTATTTAAAATTATCTGCAGAACTCAGAAATCTGTATTTTCACTAAAAATTCCCGGATCATAGGGAGTTCTCATGGGCTAGTGTCAAGAAGCTGTGCTGCAATCCCGAAGGCACACAGTTCAAATCCACCAGATGCTCTGCTGGAAGAGGAGGTGCAACCTCCTTTACCAGTTGGATTTGATTTGATCACACAAGTGTGCACACACACATACACACACACACACACACACACACAGCCCCAAAAGCAATTAAAAATCCCTATATCATTCTGATGGTTGGAGGGTCAGAGCCTTTAGGTCAGTGTTTCTCATTTTGGCTACTGACTGGAATTAGTTTGGAAGCTTTTAAAAATCCATGTAACAAGACTGTATAGTGAGTGAATCAGTTGCATTAGAGTCTCTGGGGATGGATCCTAAGCATCAGCATGATTTTCTATCTCCAGCTAATTTTAGCATGCAGCCCAAACAGAGACAACTCCAAACAAGAACTT